GCAGACATCTCACCCTACATCAAAACAGAGCAGCACCTCTGCACTTCATGGTCCAGAGTGACACCTTGACCAGTTTTGCTTTGAACTAGGGTGCAAGTTCTGTTTGGCTATCGCCTTGTTGCTGTTGTGTGCTGCAGCATCCAAACAGCTTCCTTCAGGCTTTCCAGCCCTCCTTCAGCAGGGGATTTCCAGGGCAGGAGCCTGCCTGCCCTTTCCTTTGCAGCTGGGTGCAGTGGGGTTGACCAGGACACAATTAAAATGTTCTGCATCTTTTACAATGCAAGGTCTCCAGGGCATGGATTTTTTGGAAGGCTGAAACCAGGTCTATAAAACCCAAGATTTAATGTCTTTTTATCTTTCCCATAGAGGGACTTGTTCTTTTAACTGGCTCAATATCAATATTCCCAGTGCGTAGAAAGTGGCCCAATTTCTTTGTCTCCTGACATCCTGAATCCAGAAGCAGATGGACGTTAACCAGCTCTGATTAGTTGGGAGAATCAAGCATTAATTTTTTATATGCCAGGACCACCTGAGTGACGGAAATCAATTACCGCTGCCCCTCCCCCTTCCATATTAACGTGGTGGCTCTGAGCAGAGATGGAGGAACCTGTTGAAATGAGAAACCCCTATTTCTTAGTTTGACCCCCTAGATAATTAGGGTTAAATTGATATGCTATCTCACTGGTGACACGTTTTATCTGCCTCTGTTTGTACAAGAGGATACAATAGTGGAGGAAGGACCAATTTGTGCCCCGCTCTAGCTAACCAGACTGAGATAAAAGGTGTCACTAGTACGATAACGTTCTTGCCTCATGCTCCTTTATTGTTGCTCAATTTGCCTTTTTTTTTTTTTAATCCTGTTCTTTTTCTTTCAATACCCTTGGTCATATTTTAACTCCATGCCATCGCATAATGACGCCCTGCTAAATGTGTGTGGAGATAGGCAACTCTGGCTGACAGCCTTCCCTGATAACCGAATTCCAGCCCATCCATCACTAGGCTGCTCTCCTTAAGTTAAGGAAAATGATAACTAAAGCAAGGCCGTTTATCACCGCTGAGCTGTGCGCTTCTTGCCACCTTGGAGAGAGCTGGCTTCAACGGGAGAAATGCAGCCATGTCACCTCGCCTCCTATTTGCATCCCCTTCATCTCCAGGCCCCATTTACCCTGCAGAGTGGAGGAGCAGGGCTGGATGGAAATCAGAGCCTGGGGTCATGAAAGCTCTCTGAAAATGGTGCAGAGCTGCCACTGCTGACCGAAGTCCGAGGAGGACTCGGACTTGCTTGGCTGGGGTAGAAGAGTGTGCTATCTGATGTCACTTGCTCTTCTGCCTAAAGGGGACCTGCATTTTGGGAGCAGACAGAGGTTGCGCGCTTCCCATCTCTGCTGCTGGGACAACAGATTTTACCAGAGCTACATCAGAGGCTGGAAAATCCCACAGCCATTTTCAGGTTTCTATCAAGTGCAGCCATACCTGAAGCCATGGCATTTGGCTGACAGGGTGATTTTGAAAGCCAGCTTCCTTCCCAAGGAGCGAGAGCTTCAGTATTTGGCAGTGAGACCTTGTTCAAAAGCTGGAAGGAAGGATCATAGGATATTGAATGCATTGAAACATACCATCATTTCTCTTCTCCCTTGTCTGAGGGAGGGACAAATCCCTCTAGCAAAGCTGCCCCCCCGTGAGCAAGATTGACTCTTGCAAGAGGAGGAAGCTGTAGTGAGCATAAGAGCATGTTTACCAAATGAGCTGCTCAAGTGAATGGTGGCCCTAATGATAAATGGAGATACTTCCTTACAGGCCCTGTCACTTCTGTCCCACAGGACAGATACCGATGTGCCCTGTTCATTCCAACCTGAAGAAGGTGCTGGAGATACTCCTGCCTGGTCACCAGGCTGAGAAGTGAGGGGACCACTGCAGGGGATGAGCTTGGAGCTGGGGAAAAGACATTGCAGGGGTGTTTTCCTTCCTGTAGTTACCTGGGGACCTGGCTTCTGTGCAGTGAGAGCCCCTGGTTCCCTGTGCTGGGAGCGCTGTGTACCCAGACTAGACCAGACCCATACGGCAATTCTTCAAAAAAGGCAGGCTCATTGAGTGGCTGTATTCC